CTGCGAAAGTTTGAAAACTGTCTAGCTATGTCCATTCAGAAGCCTATACCCAAGAGTCTATTTGAAGTATTTATCAATAGTTCAAAATATTAATAGTTCAAACTTACCTGGCAGGGGAGATACCTTGATCATGAAGGTGGTTTTCCCAGGGTGAGGCTTATCCATTGCATACTGGATGTGCTGACCTCCTGGCAATTTCCACAAATGTGGGAAATTTGACTGCATAATTTGTGGTAGTAGAGGAACTGCATTTGTGCTTCCTGCTGTATTGAAAAAAAAAAAAAACCAGCAACAAATATATGTATATATCTCCAGTTCAAAGCACCTGGTCCTTTCCATGAGGCTCTAAGACTGTCCCTTTTTGAAGACACAAACTTTTGCCTCTAGCTTATAGCAGAAACTTCAAATAAGCATCAGAGTAAAACCAAAACTCTGTAGTAATCTATCGTAGATGACCAACACTGAATGGTGGTAGTTAATTGCTTTACTCAATATCATAAAGGAAGAGAGTAAAATTCCCTTTTATAGTATAGCCATATTTCTTTGGAAGGGAATATTTTTATTCTTTGAAGAAAAGTACCAGAATATTCAGTGAAAAGTAAGCCTTTCTTAAATCCTATGTCCCACCAATTTCTCCTCATTGTAGGTAGCTGCTTTTGGTAATTGCCTTCACAAATATTATTATAAACATATATTTTTACCTTTGTGTCCTAAACAAATAGTAGCATACTACACAGTTTGGTACTTTTTTTTTTAATGTTTGTTATCACTTAGTATATTCTGAAGATCTTTCCATAGCAATGTATGTAGAGCTTCTTCATTCTTTACAAAGGTTATATAATAATAAATGGACCAAAATTTATTAAGTTTTTGATAGTCAATTAAAATTTTTATAATCTTTTGCTATTACAAAGACTGCCACTATGAATATCCTTGCACATAAATCATTTCACACCTGAGCAATTATATTTGTAGGATAGCTAGGAATAGAATTGCTCAATGTAATTACAATTGCTAGATTATATGTTCCCTACACATATTTCCCTTTTGCTTACCACTGTAACCCCAAAACCTATAATAATACTCAACACATTCTAGGCATCCAATAAATATCTGTGAAATGAATTTATAGAGTAGGAAGTGAGGTTTCTTTTTCATTCCTTCAGCAGTTACTGACTCAATCTGAATAATGTTACTTTTTAGATCAGATGTTTGCATTATTCTTATTTCAAACACTGCTTTTCCCAAAAGATGTGATCAATCCATCTCTCCCTTGATTTCCAACTGTCCTTCAGAATAGGATCCTTCAGGGTAGAAACATTTCTTACTTGAGCCATTTTCTTAGAAGGCCAGCTATATAGCACATGCTTAATATATGTTTGCATAATGTAGATTTCTGGTCTTTGTCAGAAGCAAATGCAAATATTCTCCAAAGAAAAGCACCTTCAATTTAGGCCCTAATATGAGCTTACAACTACAAATCTCCAAAATAAATAAGGAACCAATTACCATGGGGAAAAAAAAAGTCAACTGAAAATAAAATATAACTGATTTTGGACTTTAATACTCCAGATATTAGAATGATCAGATACACAGTACAACTGGCCCCACATATCCATGGGTTCTGCAACCATGGATTCAACCAACCTCAGATAGAAAATGTAAAGGGAAAAAAATATTCCACAAAGTTCCAGAAAGCAAAAGTTGAATTTACTGCGTGCTTAGTACTATGTTGAATTCACACAAATGAAGTTATATGTATGCAATGTATTGTGTATTATAAGTAATCTGGAGATGATTTAAAGTATACTAGAGGACATGCATAGGTTATATGTAAATACTATGCCATTTTATACATGGGACTTGAGCATTTCTGAGTTTTGATATCTTCAGGGGATCTAAGAGCTAATTCACCATGGATACCAAGAGAAATTGTATAAAATAATGTGAAATGTGTAAAGAAATAAAATGGGGAAAAGGAATACAACAGGGTTCTATAAAAATAAACAGGCAGATCTGAAAAATAATCAGATAGAAACTTTAGAAGAAAAAATATAATTATTGAAACAAAAAACTCATTGGATTGGTTAGCTAGAGTAGGCACAGCTGAAGAGAGAATTAGTGAACTGAAATAGTGTTTCTCAAATTTTAACATGCATAGGAACTACCTTGGAAGATTACTAATATACAGAATGTGATTTGGTAGGTCTTGGGTAGGACTCAGATTCTGCCTTTCTGATAGATCTCAGGGTGATGTTGATGCTGCTAGCCCATGGACTCTAAGTAGCAAAAGGACACTAGAATATAGATATAAAGAAATTACCCAGAATGCATCATAGAAAGACATAAAGATGGAAAATACAGGAGGTTAAGAAATGAGAAGGATGGAATAAGAAAGTCCACTAAAGTTCCCAAAACAGAAAATACTGAAAGAGAGATGCTGCCCCCTACCCACCTCAACATTTGCAGGGCCTGGAGCAAGAACACAAATAGAGGCCCACATATTATATGCCTTAAGATTTAAAAGTTAAAAATCAAGCTAATGAACTGTTAAATATATTCTGTCGTCCAATCTTGCTAATTATACCTTAATGACAACCCAGAAAGCCAGCACAAAACAGAAAACCAATAAAAGATCTTAAAGGCATCAAAAAGGAAAAGAGAAATCACCCACATAACAATTAGATTGACAGATACCTTCAAACAGCAACAATGGAATAATACATTTCAGTTGTTGAGAAAAAGCAACTCCTAACCTAGAATTGCAAACCCACAAAATTCTTTGAAGAATCATCTGAGTGAAATAAAGGCATTTTCAGAAAAACACAACTGACAGTCTTCTACCAACAATCATTCAAGGAAGGAAAAAAATGATTCCATAATGACAATGTGATATGCAAGAGGAAATGATTAAGTGATTTGATAAACTATGTAGGTAAAAGATTGGCCTGTATTAGATGATGATGATAATAAATATTTATGAAGTTAAAAAAAAACGTAACTAAAATACTAGAGAACAAGTCAAAAGGAAGGTGGGGTGATTAGAATGTTCTAAGGTTCTTGACTGGTGGTGGTGGCTCATGCCTATAATCCTAGCATTTAAGGGAGGCCCAGGTAGGAGGATCACTTGAGGCCAGAAGTTCAAGACCAGTCTCAGCAACATAGTGAGACCCCATTTCTACAAAAAACACAAAAATTAGCATGGAGTGGTGGCATGCACCTGTAGTCTGAGCTACTCAGGAGGCTGAGGCAGAAGGATAGCTTGAGCTCAGGAGTTTGCGGTTTCAGTGAGCTGTGATGATGCCAATGTACTCTACCCTGGGTGATGCAGTAAGATCTTGTCTCAGAACAAAAACAAAAAGAATGTTTTAAGGTTCTTTAACTGTTGGGAAAGAGGGTAAGGACATTAACTTTAGACATTTTTAATTGTGCAAGGTATATTTCAAAGTAGTTATGTTTGTAACCTCTAAACCAGAAGATCAGAAAAAAATAGCATAGGGAAACATTAATAAAATACAATTTTTTTCAAGGCCAGAAAGGCCAAAAAATACAAAGCATAGAAAACGTGAAACATAGGAAAGCAAAAAGATAATAGAAACAAGTCCAAAAAATAAATACATATATATGGACTGAAGTTACTAGCTGAAGTTGGACAAGAAGATCAACCATATTTTGTCCATAAGATACACTAAAACCTAAGGGCATAGAAAGGGTGAAAGTAAAAAGGTGAAAAAAATCCCTCTTAGAAGTGACTATTAACCAAAATAAAGCTGGAAAAATTACATTAACATCTAACAAAGTAGATTTTTAAAGAAAAACCGCATTAGTAGGGCTAGAGATGGTCGTCACTTAATGATAAACAGCACAACTCGCCAAAAATAGATAATAATTCTAAACTTATATGCATTTAATAAAACAACCCAAAACTCTAAATGAGGAAAATCAACAAAATCACAGGGAGGAATCATGAAATCCATGATCAGAGTACATTCAACACTGTTTCAACTATTAATAGCCAATGTATGTCAGTGTGTCAGGAATCTTTCAACTTGTTACTTAATGCAATCAATTTTAAGGGGATGTGTTACCAATATTTTCTAATAGGTGCTCAAATATGCTTAGGTGTGAAATACAAGAACGCACAAACGAAAATTGCTGAAATCCAAATTCTGTGGCAAGCTCTTAAAGGCAAATGGATGCTTGTTTTTTTGAAAGCAATTTTCAGTATTTTTTTTTTTTTTGAGACAGAGTCTCACTTTGTTGCCTAGGCTAGAGTGAGTGCCGTGGCGTCAGCCTAGCTCACAGCAACCTCAGACTCCTGGGCTCAAGCGATCCTTCTGTCTCAGCCTCCCAAGTAGCTGGGACTACAGGCATGTGCCACCATGCCCGGCTAATTTTTTCTATATATATTAGTTGGCCAATTAGTTTCTTTCTATTTATAGTAGAGACGGGGTCGCTCTTGCTCAGGCTGGTTTTGAACTCCCAACCTCGAGCAATCCGCCCGCCTCGGCCTCCCAGAGAGCTAGGATTACAGGCGTGAGCCACCGCGCCCGGCCCTAATTTTCAGTATTTTAAGTACTAGCACTTCCTGAGGAAGTGGGGGATGGTAGTGGTTAAGAAGCCAGACCTAGAATGGACAAAGTAAATAGGGTATGGGAACGTTTCATTACCAGTCATTTAAAAAATATTTACTTAACACTTACTACGTGCAAGCAGGCAATCTACGAATTAATGGCCATTTCAGATCTTCGGAATACTAACAGTCTCAAGAACAAATGATTTCACTCTGTGCCTTATCTTCCTTAAAAAAAATGATTTCCTAAAAGCAACTCAGATATTCAAATAGTATTTAAAACTGTTTTAGACAAATCAATCATGGGACGCCAAAATGGGCGCCAGGGCCTTTGGCCGCAGGCAATGAGGACACCTATGAGCAGTCGGTGGGGTCCTAGGGCAGCCATGGAATTGCTCCATACTTCAGGCAGGAGTGTGGTCAGCTAAGTCAGCGCGCAGAGGGGACCTAAGGGGCGCTTCTGCGCAGGCGTGGGCTCCTAAATCTATCCGGGATCTGCCCCGGCTCTGTCCTTTCGTTCGTAGACATGGTGAGTGAGTGAGTCTCGCTGCTAACTGCATGGGTCGGGAGCATACCTGGTAGGGTAGTTTTGAGCAGCGTAGTCACTATACGGTTGTTTGGCAAATATGGGAGAATGGTAAGACATGGGCCTTGTGATTTTTCTTGAGGGCTTAGGGTAAAATATTACTCAGCGTTTTTTGCAGACCTCGCGGGCACAATTGTTCGTTCTAATTTTATCTAGGCTTCTTCCTGTTGGGCGGGCCTCTTAGGATTAAACAATCCTATTTCTTAATTCCTCTTAAGAAGCTGGGGCTGATTGGTGGCTTTTTTCAAAAAAAAAAAAAATAAATTTCCGACTTAAAAATTACGTTAAAATCGTTAGTGGTTTAGTCTAGCTTGAAAACCTCGTAAATTTAAATGGCATCTGAAGGAAATTCGCTACTTAATCATTTTTGGTAATCTTCGTGAACTGCTTACAGTATTAACGCATTCTCAACCACCGGAATGTATGAGAATAGAGCAGCATCCTTATCACCTGGGGACTTGTTGCAAATATACTCAGATTGCAAGTATACTCTGATTAAAGTCGGAGCTAACGGGACTGATTGAAAAGCTTTTGGGGTGCGTAGAAGGTGCCTGGGAACTTTTTGATTGAGCAAGAATTTGCTCACGTTAAGGGATAGGTTTTTTTTAGTAATGCCTCTGACCAGGATGCAGAGGCTCACGTTTGCAATCCAAGCGCTTTGGAGGACCTAGACGGGAGGATCACTTGAGCCCAGGAGTTCAAGGTTACAATGGGTTACGATCCTGTCACTTACTGCATCCAGACAGAGCAAGACCCTGTCTCGTAAGAAAATGCTTCTGTATGCTTTTTGCCACATGCAAACATATATGCTGTATTGATAAGCCCTGCTATTCTCTGTTCTTTCATTTTACTTTGAGTGAAAGAAAATGAACAGCAAATACAGGTAGTTTTTTGGGTCGATGATGAGCTGGCATGTATTCTGAATCTGAAGTTGATTATTACTACTTTAGCTCTAGAATTACTCTGAGACCTGAAAATCACCTATATCTTCACTAAGATGGAGTGTTGATGTTTTAAGTTCTTTCTGTTCAGATGCTTGCAGGTTTTAAATTGAAAGTTTCTCTGTGGCAAGATAATATTGGAGTAAAATTCAGGAATGTATTGAGTATATGCTTTGGGATAGAACATTAAATGAAACCACTGATGAGATCACAACTTTCTTATTTTGAAAGGGAACGCCACAGAAGGATGTTACTATCAAGTCAGATGCACCCAACACCCTATTATTGGAGAAACATGCAGATTATATTGCATCCTATGGCTCAAAGAAAGATGATTATGTATGTATGATTTTAAAGTTCAATAAATGCACCTTGGATATCTGAGATTAGGGGTATATCAGAATCAGTTGTGGTTCTTACCAATACTGACTTTGTGCTTGCCAGACAAAATAGATTGGGGGTTTGAGGCACAAAATGGGTTTCTATTTTTATAGTTGGGGTAATACTTTCAAGGTCAATGATGTTTTGGCATGTATTACCTGAATTTATTGCTGATGTGTAATAACACTTAAGCTCTAGAATTACGCTGAGACCTTGAAAAAGTTTTACCTTAAATTTTTAAGCTTCAAAGATTAGTCTTCCTCTCTGGGACAATCTTGGTAGAAAGTAATAAACAACTTAGTTGTAAATAAATGTTTTTTCTCCAATAATATCCAAACAATTCCAGTTACCTACGAATTTGGGTAACGTATTCACAAATTGTTTACTTAAGTGTTAGGTTGTTTTCATAAGCTTGCAGTTAAATATGTAGTAGCAGTCATGAAGTTAAGATAATATGTAAATAAGTACTTTTTTCCAGTATGACTTGAAGGGATGGGGCTTGACTTATTTACTCCTTTTATCTACTACCCAACTGTGAAACTCTGCATTTGGGTTGGTAACTAACTACTATTACCTGATAGAAAACCTCTGAAATATAATGCATTGTGGCTGCAGCAAAAATTTGTGGAAGCTTCATATTTATGTTTATGTCTCATTGATTAGCTTCCATTTTATCTGGACCTAAAGTTATCATTGGCATGCTTAGGTCATTTTGCTTTTCATGTGGCTATGTCATTTACTAATAGATTTTTTTACAGAGTCCACATGTTAGAAGAATGGATGTCTAAAATATGAAATAGGTACTCCGAAAAAAACATGCTCCCCTAATTTTACAGATGAAATGGGTATATTCGTCTGACTTATTTTACCTTTAGGTCAGCTCTTGAAAGAAACTAAAGCTCGATTTGTATTGTCAGCCATAGTTGAATTTATCATATGCTTGTTAGGTAATTATTTTTTTCTGAGTAACAGTTGTGTCTGAAGATGGCTTCTAACTGAGAGCCACAAATTTACACTCAGTACAGGTTAATGATATTGCTAGGGTCAGGAGAAGTAAAAATAGTGTGGCTAGTGAGTTAGCTTTGTGTGTTTAATCTCTTTAACCTTCACCAGTTCAAACTGACACATTTAAGAAATTGTGTATTTTAGGAATACTGCATGTCTGAGTATTTGAGAATGAGTGGTATCTATTGGGGTCTGACAGTAATGGATCTCATGGGACAACTTCATCGCATGAATAGAGAAGAAATTTTGATATTTATTAAGTCATGCCAACATGAGTGTGGTGGAATAAGTGCTAGTATTGGACATGATCCTCATCTTTTATACACTCTCAGTGCTGTCCAGGTAAATACTAATTAAAATTTAACAGTCTTGATAATTTGTCCTCTTATTTGAGAATTGGGAATTGAACCTATGTATTAGGAAAGTGACAAAATCAGAATCTTAAGACAAAAATTTCATTACAAGTGAAGTGGTCCTACAAGGTCAGTGATGTAATGGCATGTATTAGCTGAATGGAAAGTTGATGTGAGTTCCAATGTTACACTGAGACCTTGGAGGATAAAATTTGTATTTTCAGTATATGTAAGTATTTGACAATCACTAAATGGAGTTACTGAGTTTTGATATTGGTTAAGATCCGCATGGTGATTTTAAAACCTATTTCTGTATATTTGAGTCTTGGAATGCCAAATTACAATTTATATTTGGAAAAATTATAAGGTTAAAGTTTTGAGTTTGTTGGTAATACCTATAATTTTATTAAATAACAAGATGGTCTGCATATTTGAGAAAAGATTAATACACATAGGCAAAAGGACATGCATGGCACCTTAAAGGGAGTTGATAACAGAATTAGAATAAACCTAAAGGAATATTTACCTAATATTTATCTTCATTGCAGATTCTTACTCTGTATGATAGTATCAATGTTATTGACGTAAACAAAGTTGTGGAATATGTACAAAGTCTACAGAAAGAAGATGGTTCTTTTGCTGGAGACATTTGGGGTAATGTTCGATTTGATCCATGCTACCCAAAATAGCAATATTACAATGCCCTGGCTTTGCTAGTGGCCTATTTATAAGGATTTTTTTTAAGTTTTTCATCTTTTCAGGTCCCACTAAGCAGCTGGTCTAACTGGAGTTAATGGTCTGCTGGAAGTTCCAGCATGCACTGTGGTAGTTATGTCAGCATACAAGAGCACTGGAACACAGGGGGCCAGATAAGGTAGGTGAAATTTTTTTCCCCAATATTTGGTGGCTTTGTAAAGTTTTAAAGCTACTTACCAGAAAGGGACACATACTCAAAAAACTTTACAAACTTACTGAATATTTGAGTGGAGGGAGGAAATAGAATTTTATTTGATAAATCCAGATAATCTCTGCTTCAGGGATGAACACAGTGCAGGCCAGAGAGACCAGCTGCTTCATGGGATATGAAAATCTACTTTATAAAGTAGAGGAAGTTTATTTGCATTGTCAAAAACTGACTAGTCCTTTTGGGTCTGTTTCTTTTTCTGGGCATTTGTAAGCAACTTAGATAATTTGCTGTTTTGACAAAACAGTTTTCTAGTTTTCTTCTTGAAGTAAAAGCATTTAACTTTAGATTTAGCTTTCTTCCTGACTAAAAGTCAAGCTTTTGAACTTTGGGAAATTTAATGTGGCAGTTCTACAGTTTTTGTTTTTAGATAGCATAACTATATATAATGATCAGAGGCCTCTGGTAACATGGTTTGGTTTTATCTCTATTTTAGGAGAAATTGATACAAGATTCTCTTTCTGTGCAGTGGCAACTTTGGCTCTATTGGTAAGTTTTCAATAATGTGTTGAAATGATTAAGTGCCCATGAATACTCTGGAATTTAGTAGGCATATTTTTTTCTGTTTATAGGGGAAGCTTGATGCCATTAATGTGGAAAAGGCAATTGAATTTGTTTTATCCTGTATGAACTTTGATGGTGGATTTGGTTGCAGACCAGGTTCTGAATCTCATGCTGGGCAGGTAATTTATTAATGCAGATTAAAATTTAGTGTCAATTTGGATGATATAACCAGTGTCATAAAATGGGAAAATGTGTCAATAGTAATTTCAGTGTCTGTTAATATGAATGTAGTGAATTTGATATGGGAGGCTGTATAAAAGTTGTTTAATTGGTAAGTACAGATGGGATTTTTACAATAACTTGCTTTTATATAGTGGATCCCCTCTGACCCCAAGCAAGCACAAGTAGGTTCATAAACACCAAAATACATTTTCATCTTCAATTAATTTTTAATGAACTATGCAGATGAAACATTCTATCCCTACCTAACCTGAGCTAAATGAGCACCCCTTTACTTGTGCCAGAGAACATTTTGTATGTAAATAGTTGTAAAATACTTTGCCATGAAGAAATTTTGACAGCAGAATTGGATCCTAGTAATAGTGTGCTTGGATTTCTGGGTGTTAAATTATTCCATCAGAAAGTAAAAGTTCTGATATACAGTTGAGTTTTAATAATTTGAATAGTTTTTATCAGTTTTACTATCAAGAAGTTACTATACACATGTACTTTATGTCTGTAATTTTAGATCTATTGTTGCACAGGATTCCTGGCTATTACCAGTCAGTTGCATCAAGTAAATTGTGATTTACTTGGTTGGTGGCTTTGTGAACGACAGTTACCCTCAGGTGGACTCAATGGAAGGCCAGAGAAGGTATTGTTTGATAAGCTGTGTTCTGTTAGCTTTATAACCTTGAGTGAATGCTGCTGCTTTGTCTTGTGCATTTCAGTATTGTTCTTGTAAAATGACTGAGCTTTTTATTTTCCTCTGTTGTAATTTTTCAGTAACACCTCCTAAAAAGACTGCCTTTGGGAAAAGTAGAATCCCTTGGGTTGAAGTGCTCATTGATACTGGTATCCACATCCAGACACTTGTCCATCTATGGGTGTGAAAGTATAATTGATTTTGACAAAGTGGTTGTGTAGAATGAAGTTTAGTGTTCTCTTACTCGTTGATTATCTTTAATTCTAAGCAAGCATTTTAAACACAAGTCTTTTCTGCCTCCTGCCCCCTACTGTTTGAACAGTAGATTAATTAAAAGTGAGACTTTTAAACTTCTCAGAACTAGAGAAATAAAAGAATAAAATTGTGACAACTTTTTGTAACTATTTTTTTCCCTCCTTAGTTACCAGATGTATGTTATTCATGGTGGGTATTGGCTTCCCTAAAGATAATTGGAAGGCTTCATTGGATTGACAGAGAGAAATTGCGTAGTTTCATCTTAGCATGTCAAGATGAAGAAACGGGTGGATTTGCGGACAGGCCAGGAGATATGGCAAGTGTATTTCTGTCATGTTTTTATAAGTTATTTTTTTCAGTATTGGCATTAGTTCATGGTATTTCCAGATCTAGAACTGGGTGGATGTTGCTTTAAAAGTGGTAAATTTTTTTGGAACTTAATTTTTAAATGTATGAAAGATACAGGCCAAGCTTACAGAAATTTCTCATTTGTTGCCTATTGCTAACAAAATTACTATATGGTAAAGGTCAAGTATTTAGAAACAGTTTGAGGTCTCTTTATTTCAGCCATTTATGCATATACATACAACACAATTGACTCTAATGTAGATATTTATAGAGGGTTATTTTTAGAGGTTTTCATTTTGTAATAGTCATTATTTTTTAATAGGTGGATCCTTTTCATACATTATTTGGAATTGCTGGATTGTCACTTTTGGGAGAAGAACAGATTAAACCTGTTAGTCCTGTTTTTTGCATGCCTGAAGAAGTGCTTCGGAGGATGAATGTTCAGCCTGAGCTAGTGAACTAGATTCATTGAATTTGAGCTAGATTCAAACGTTGAATAGTATAGTTTTGCCATCTCAACATTTCTCTGTTTGACGTGCTTATCAAACTTAAAAATTGCTGTTAATACTTTGTATATTGTGTTAAATTAATTTCAGTAAATCATGTAATTATATATTTTGTAAAATAAAGACCTGTGTTTTATTTTCACCCAGTTTTTTGTTTGTACTTTAAGTGCATCTGTTCATGTCTCCATAACATAGCAAATTTTAAAAAACTCTTGGGTTCTACTTTATTTCTTGCCCCTGTGTTCCTTTCATGCATTCTATAACAATAGTTAATGTAAAATGTTTTGTGTCAACAGTTCCTGTTAACTGATGAAAATGGATAAACCTTATATATGAATTAAAAGATGCACAAAATAAATGGCTGCTGCAATTTGGAAATAATTTGTAGGTTTTTGAGTGCGATTACTCTGAAGTGGTCACATTTAATTTAGGTAAATGACAATTCACCTTTTTAGAATAGGGTTGCAACTTGGACTAATTAATAGCATTTTATAGATCTCAATTACCCAGGGGATTGTTGGCCTTTCTTTTTTCTTCCAATAAGGAAACAGTTTAACAGATAAGTTGGGTTATTTGAACCTGTGTTTCCAAAAAACTACAATGAGCACAACGGTTGTCTAAGAGATTACAGTTTCAGTGAAAATAAGATATTGTAATGAACATTTTTCTTGATGGAAGTTCATATTTTCTCAAACATTTGCAATACCCTGCATGATGGATGTGGATGAACTATGCCATGGATAAACTTATGATATTTGATAATAGTGTATAATGTTATAGCATTATGCAGAGGATTTTATTGTTTCCTCAAGCATCCCTAGGAAGGTTGTACTATTGCCATATTCAATTGAGAAAAGTAAACTAAATAGCAAAGTGGGAGTTTGAACTTCTGTGGTTTGCTCTTAACTAATTAGAAATGGGAGGATTGCAAACTGTTCTTACACTATCCAAGAGATCTCACCCTGTCTTTCCTTGATTCTTACCAAACTATGCACACAGACATGTGCATACTATCTCGTGAAAATATAGCCTTGTGGATCTTTCCTGTATTTGTTCACAAGACCAATTTTAAATGGATTGTACTGTTTTCACTGATGCTGGATGATGGACAGTATATTTTAAAATTAGCTGCATTTTCCACCAAACTGATAGTTTTGTTAAAAATACGTGTGTATGTGCTATATATGTGTGTGTATATTATATAAACTGAAAAGCATATCTGAAACGGCCTCTACAAAAAAAAAAAAAATAGCTGGGCACGGTGGTGAGCAACTTGTAGTCACAGCATCTAGAAGAGGCTGAGTCAGGAGGATCGCTTGAACCCCGGGAGTTTGAGGCTTTAGTGAGCTATGATGAAACCACTGCTCTGGGCAACCTTGTTCTCAAAACAATTTTTTTAAAAAAACTGCTTAGGTGTTTGGGAAATACTTAAAATCACGTTGCTTTTTGCAATAAGGGAAATAGGGTGCTATGGGGATAATAATAGGGCTACCAAATCTTGTGGTCATCCATGGGCCCTGAAGAATTGTGTTCAGCCTGATACCTGCGAGTTGAGGAAAGCTATACCTCAAATCAGGTTTATGTGGAAGGTGATGGGTTAGGAAGCGGCCGAGAGTAGGGTGCTAGCTGCGAATAGGGAAAAGGTGAAAGGCTGGGGGAGGGGGGGTGCCTGCGCCTGCGCCCTGCAGCTCGGTGAGCTCGGCGCTGTTTTCGCGCGCTGCTCTGTGGAGCTGCGTCTGCCTCAGGGCTACGCGGAGGGCACTCGGAAACCGCGTCCTCGTGCCGGGGGAGGTGTGAGAAGATGCTGAGGCCTGAGGTCTCATCTACCCCACCTTCCGCCTCTGTGGCTCCCCGCTCGTCCAGAGAAGCTCGCTCACATGGTCCTCGCTACAATTTCGAGCTGCAGGAGACTCCTCAGAGCCGCCCTTCCGCCCAGGCCTTGACTGCGTCCACGCCTCGCAGCACGTCGGGAGCTGCGGGCGACCGGAGTAGCAGCAGCAGCCTCCCACTCCATCAGCCACGCTGCCGGCCGGCTCAAGGCAAGGAACCGTTGTGTGGAACAGTCCCCCAAGTTCAGGGAGACTGGGCGGTGGTTACCAGAGCCCAGTTCAGTTAGGGTTGGTTGGCGTATGAGAACAGGGTGTCCTGGGAATTTGATGGGTCTGGGTGATTAAAAGCCTGGATTCTTCAAATTGGTTTTATTACAAGACTGATGATGGCCGATGGCTCAGTTATGAGGAAGGCTGAAATATCAAAACGCGCCCCGCGCCCAATATATAACAAATGACAAGAGTTTGTGCATGCGACTGCTGGTAGCAGTGGTGAGGTATGTTCTTTGGCTGCTGAATTTAAATCTCCACGTTCTGGGGCGGGGGGGGGGATGAAAATAGATTAAATTGAACATTTTATCTAATTCAGGTTTATGATATGTTTAGTATTATAAGATGTAAGTAGAGCCAGGCATGCTAGATCCTGCCTGTATTCCCAGCACTTTGGGAGGCCGATGCAGGAGGATCTCTTGAAGCCAGGAGTTCAAGACTGGCCTATCTACCAAAAACATTTTTAAAAAATATTAGCAGAGTGTAATGGCATTGCCTGTAGTCCCAGCTACTCAGAAGGCTGACCCAGGATTATCGCTTGAGCCCAGGAGTTCAAAGCTGCAGTGAACTCCAGCCTGGGCAACAAAGCAGGATCCTGTGGGGCGGGGGGGAAGTCTGTCTTTCAAGGTGAGTTCAAATCACTTATTGTATATGTTGTTACTCTTCATTCATGGCAAAAGCTAACTATGTTTTCACACATCATTACAAACATCATGGTAAGAAAATAAATGCCAAATCCAGTGATCACTTTTCAGGTCATCTTGTGACCTTACTGCTATATTTAGTATTCTTGACCAGTCTTCTCTTGAACTCTCTTAGTTTGGCTTACTTGATTCCACTTGCTCCTGTTTCTCTCTTACCTCCCAGGGAACTACTATGCTCATCTTTGTTAGTTCCCAAATTATTGGTGTGCCAGTTTTGTTTTGTTTCTTTTCCTAAGC